GCTATTATTTATTGTAAGGAATAATAGCTTTTGTCCACTTTAAATTTCTATTATCACCATTATTTGAGAATATGGTGGAAGCGTAATAACATTCCATGAGTGTTTTATATTGGCTGTATTCGTTTAGTTATTTTAGGAGTATGTAACACGAAATCAAACTTTTAACATTTTATTATTTATTATTTTCATCCACACCAAACTTAATAATATGTACATATAGGGAAAACAATTTTAATTTAAAATTCAATTTAATCATAAAACACGTCTATCAAATGTCATGTTCTATAACATCAGTAAAATGTAATTTAAAACATAATTATTAGTTTGAAAAAAAAATAATGTTTTTTTAAATAGTTTTCTGCAAGGTAGACTGTTTAAAAAAATTATTACATCTTTAACAATTGCTTGAATATTTGCTTTTGTTTAATAATTTAATTTCACAAAAAAAAAATTATAATAACGTAGTAAGCTTGTTATTATGATTCAATGGCTGCTAGTCAGTTCATATTTATTTGKTAATTTTTGAGTTTTGACAAATCTACTTTTCTTTCATATACAATATGAATATTTGATACGGACGTAATTTAATATATAAATTATATAATATATAATTATTTTATACATGAAATTTGAGCATATATATTATATATATTATAAAATATAGGTTGGACAATTTAATGTTTTCAAAAACAGTGGATGGTTTTGTAGAATTTCATCGTTTATTGTATAGTTTAAATTGTTCTCATATTTTGTGTAAATATTAACCATAGTTTAATTTATGAATTGCATTGTGCATGTAAGTAAATTGGTTTTCTTATACTTCCGTTAAATATATAATTCATAGTCACTATGGTATTGCCATCGTGTCATACTCTGTACTTAAAAATACTAGTCTAGTCAYTGGTTTTAAATTTTTTAAACGTATACATTTGATTATTTGATGATATTATGAGTGCAGAAACAATTCATTGGGAAGGTAACAAAAAACTTAACAAGAAAAAATTTTAATCATTCCGTAGAAAATAATTATATATTCTAGCACACGTTTTTGTTCTTGTGTTAACTACGCGTTGTAATTACGAGTTGACTCTATAGTAGTACCGAATAACTGAACAATACATTATTATAAACACGTATAATAGTAACTATGAAATGATTTTGCAATAATCATGTGTATGACGTTATGGTTTTATGTTATTATGTTTAATATTATATTGTTTCTACTTATTACATGTAATATGTTATTACATATTACATATATGTTGTTATAGGATTTTAATATTAATTCGATTACTATTTATACATTATACACTTGTCTGAAAGTAGTGTTTGTTATTATTTTACATTGTATGAAAGACAAAATTGTATTGCAATACAGATTATAGATGCTTGAAAGAGGCAGGTTGATACATATTTGTCTCCTATTAGCATTTTTAACTATTTTTATCGCATAAAATGCGTACTTCCGCGAACGAGCGATAATAACGTATTCATATCTGACAGTATAAATTATCGCTAAGACCAAACAGAAAATAAATAAAGTAGGAATGTTGACACAAGATAACGGTAGAGAACAACCAATATCTTGGAGACGGGGTTAGCTAGGGTATTATCTAAGGTAAAAGAAACACTATCCAGTCTGATGCAAAAAAAATAATGCTTTAAGTCCAGTCAATAAATTAAATGTACAATAAACAACATTGTTTTTTTTCTCATGATGACTATGATAATAATATTATTATCCTAAGCACGTCTTTGTGTGGAGGCGAACAATAATATAATAGTAATATATCGACGGGTTTGGCTTATAATTTTCGTTTTTTTGTTTGTTTTTGTGTTTCCACCGTCCTCAGCGGCCCAAGCTAACATCCACGGTCCCCCAGAGGTGTTCGTGAAGAAAGGCAGTACCATCAGCCTGACGTGTTCAGTGAATGTGCACTCGACGCCACCAAGCTCGGTGATATGGCTTCATGGCACCAAAGTAGTGGACTTTGACTCACCTCGAGGCCGTGGAGGAATCAGTCTAGAAACGGAGAAAACCGAATCAGGTACCACCAGTCGGTTGCTGGTCACTAAGGCTGGGCTATCCGACACCGGAAACTACACGTGCCAGCCAAGTAACGCCAACACGGCCACGGTGTTCGTCCACGTGCTCAATGGTAAGACGAACCTAGATGATATAATTATCAAACTACAGAGATATAGGTGGTCGGCTGTGTCCGAATTTGGTCACAGATTTTAGTGATTTTTAAAGGTAGTACATTTGTATTAAATTCACATGCTTCAAGCCTTCAAGGTTACATCAGTTACTTAGGTAGTACATATTAGTTAAGGCCTATTTTCTATAATTAATACAATACATTTTTCTTTTCCTCATTTACTTATTTTATACTTAGCATCTATAAATATGGTTTAAAATATATAATTGAACAAGATTAGTTGAATTGAATTATAAATCTTAATATTTATAGAATAATCATTTTTAAAGTTGAGAAAAAATATTTGCTTAGGTGATAAAGGTAACACAAAGTAGCAGCATTTTGTTAGTGAATCCTAATTGTCAGCTATCAACAGAAAAACACGTTATCGCAATTAGCATATAATTTTAATCTCGGGTCTTAACTAGTAAAACTGTGCAAGTATGTAGTGTTGTAACTTAAATATAAATAAACACATATGGCTTATTGCAAGGACGATTGCAAATTCAACCGATAAGTAGGTAAACTCCGAACAGGTTTCATTAGAATCAATTTAAAAAAAAAAAAAACATTCTCAATAATTTTGGGAAACGCATCTAGACCAATTTTTTTCAAATCTAAGTACTGGAAACCTAGATTACTCGAATCGGCATGGGACGATAAAAAAATTCGGGTTATCGAAAATTCGACTTATGGAAAACCTCGATATCTCGAATCGGCAACGAATTTCGAGTTATCGAAATATTTCTCCATCTTGACTTCACAAAATCACAAGATGAACTGGATATTTGCTGTCACAGCATTATATTAAATATTAACGTATACATTTCGTAGTTCAATCGACGTATAATTTTACCAATATAATATTTATTATTATTATTTATTATAATGTACAATAAATGTAAGTAGTAGATAAACGTAATTTATCGGAGATATAGACATTATATGGTTTTATATCGTTGAATTTATAACAGTACCTTTTAAGCATAAGGTAAAGATTAGATTGATAATATTAATCGGTTTTCGATTGCGATTATTGTTATTTATAAATTTATAATAATAYACTTGATTATTTGGCCTTTGGGTTATCAAGGTATGAACGTGTTATATGTACATATATTATTATATAAATTCGAGTTATAAGCCAAAATTCGGCYAAAAATATTTCGAATTATAGAGAATTTGAGTTACCGAAATTCGAATTATCGAGAGAATTTATCACACATATCATATATTATAAGGCCGGGGCCAAGGCATTCCTTCGAATTATCGAAAATTCGACTTATAGAGGTTTGATTTATCGAGGTTCTACCGTATATTTTACCAATTTTGTTTCTTTGCCATATTGGAATGTAAATCTTCATCACTAMAAATAATTATATAGTGAGGCCAAAACTGCATAACAATAATCTATKATAAAATGATTAAAAAAAAAACTACCTAATGAATAATTATTATATAAATCAACAATCTGTTCAATAAGATGGTTTAAACTGGTTTTAAATATGATTTTTTTTTCCTGAATTAGACGTTCTTTTCTTATAAATTTCATTAATCTAATGTTACTGTGGAAATATGTGAGCTTTGTAAGCTTAATTTATAAATTTTATTATAACTTGAGTATGACACTCAAAACGWAATGTTTAAAAACAAMAAAAAAAAWTATTAAAAGAGCCTGAGGTTGACCTGCTAATTTTTTTTCAGCTATTGCCTATACTTAATTACATTTCTCGGTATAGTATAATATTTTTTGCGTTAGAAASATTAAAATAATTATAGTGTAAAAGTAATTTAAKTATTTCAATTGAACTACATAGGTACCTAAAAAAATGTGAATATTAATAAATGAATAACCTAGTCCATTATTATATGTAATGCGTATTTTATCATTACTTCACAAAGTATATAATATTTTATATYATAAAATRATATCTCAGATATAACCTTAAGTTACAAAAATTAATTCTAAATAGTTATTTGTTTCCCATGTGTTGGTTGTCATTTGAAAATATTGTAAACTGTCAAACCAATTCAACTTCTTGATTTTACCCAATATCCTTTAAGATTGTTGTCGTTTAATCTTGTATTATTCTTTGAGTACTGATTTCTTAATATTACCCTTTAATAAAAAAAAAATAATGAAAAAATATTAGTCGCGTTTTTCTTTCAGACTTTTTTCAATCATTCACGCGAATAAATACCAAATAAATATTTCATACCATAGAATTTTATTTTTAAAAACCAAAAACCGATGCTTTCAAACTTATTATTATAACTAAATATTGTGAACAAAATAAACTATATTACTGTAATTATTTTCGTAATAAAAATTATAAATTATCACAATAATTAATTGATTAACAATAAAGTAACTTAAAATAACTGGAACAGTTATTTTTCAGAATTAAATTATATATACTATATTTTAAATAATGTAACAACAAACGTATAAAAAATGTTCAAATATAAACTAAACTTACTGATATTCACAATAAAACGTAAGAACAGTAAGAACAGTATATAATTCATTAAAATATTTGTTTTTAATCAATATTTAGTTTTATAATTTTATAATAAAACTTGTTATAATAATATTCAAGCATATCACATGGTACATGGATAAACCATTTGTATTATTATTATTGAGACAATCATTATT